AGTATAAGGTGGCACCATTCTTTTAGAAAGTTATTTAGCAATATGGAGCAGAAATCTTCCTATGTAACTGGTTAAGGGCATAAGCTTTCGCCATTACAGAGACATGTTTGAGGCTCAGCTCTGCTACTAACTAGCTGTGTGACCAAGGGCAGTGACAAGCTCTTGGAGTCTCAGCTACTTCCATAAAATAGAGCTCATAATAGCTACCTCTAGATACTTCTTGTGAGGATTAAATGAAATGGTGTATATGAAGTGCTTAGTACATAGTTCTCAGTTAATGGTAGTTGTTAATAATTCTATTTCTTATAATGATATAAAATGAGCTAAAGCTTGAAGAACGGAGATATTGTCCCTGGCATTTTTCATATTAATGAAAACCTGGAAACAATCTAAAGATCTAATGTGAGGAACATGGTTAGGTAGTCCACAAACATGTATGCATCTTCCGTAGTCAGGGAATAATAGGGGTTAGAGACACATGGAACAAGTCCATATAATGGGACATTGCAAGGAGTTACAGCTCTGAAAAACATATAGGATAAAGACGGGACGGGAATCTATAGAAATGCTAACAAGTAGTTGAATTATAGTGGATTCAGAATGAACTTGCCTCTTTTCCCTAACTTCCAAATTGTCTATAAAGCTATTGGGTTACTTTTATAAACAAAAAATTACTTGAAAAGAGCAGAGCAGATTCTGGATGAATCTGGCCAGAGGCAGCAGGGCAACAGCTCATGGGCCCTAGTGGCCAAATCCGGACCATTCTTACTCAGTACAGTGAAACTTCAAATAACCAGAATGCAGCCGGGCAAGACCCTCGCGTAACTGGAAGGTGTCTGACTCGCCCATTAGGGGACAAGGTATGTGGTTAAGAGAGGTCTGCTCTGCAGTTGGTCAGGACAGGGCCCCTCTCAGATGCACCTCTGACTGCAAGCCCTTTACCGTTAAGACTCAGAGGACAGCCCCACGTCTGGGTTGTGGAGATTAAGTAGGTTGCAGATGCTTATAATTATCTCCCTCCATACTCTCAGCAGCTCTGTGAGGACTGCTGCCCTGGGCCCTATGGCCACTCCCCAGTAGGGAATGAATGACGGGCTGCCTGGCCAGAGAAGTCCCTGGGGTCAGTGTGGTCACCCCTTTTTTGGCATTAGTGTGTGGTCCTGAGGGGGCCGGGCAACACTGATCACAGTAGTGCCTTTCAGAGCTTGCTATTGGCTCTTGATGGCATTCAAGTTAAGTGGAACATTCCCTGGCAAGCCAGAAGGACAGTAACGGGGGGCCTGGCTGGAAACCCCTGGGGCCCACCTTAAATGGGGGAGCTGTGAATCTCACTGTGCCCATTGTAGCTGCCACCATCCTCATAATCAGGTTCTTAACAAAAAGCCTGGATGGTAGAGAAGAAAGGACCAGGCCTCTGTCATCAGACAGCCAATCCCACCATTTTCTGGCCCTGAGACCTTGGGCGAGTTGTTGAAAGTCTCTGAGCCTCAGTTTCTCCATCTGTTAAATGGGAAAGCGACCACCTACCTTTTACAATCTTAAGGGCTGTTCAGTAAATATCACTTTTCTTTCCTTCCCCAAGAAGAAACACTCATGCACAGTAGACACTGCTTCTTTGGTGGTGACAGGACCGAGTAAGTCCAGTTCCCAACTCCAGCCTCTAGGGAACTGGAGAGGAAGGGTGGTGTGCTGGGCAAGTCCTCTTAGGACATGGCGCTATCTATCTGGGCAAACTAGACTGCAAATGGACCCCCACGGGCCCTGTCCCAAGGAGAGCAGCCGTGTGATGGAGAGAATGAAATCGAGCAGAATTCTGAATCCTGGCCCTACCACTTTCTAGCTGGATGACCTTGGGTGACACCAGTCAGATACATGTTTTGAGCGTGAGAGCCCACTCTGGGGGGGGAACCACGCTGGCCCAGACGTCACGGGCTCAGCTGCACTTCCTGCTGGCTGGCTTCTAACCCAGCGCCTCTCTTGCTGGATCCTCCTACCCCTAACTGTACCCTAAGGAAGCCCCTGGCATTCCACCAGCTTTGCTCTGAATAATGGAGGCAGCTAACACTTTTCGAAGAGAAATATTAACTATTAACCAACTAATGTTAACTGAAAAAAAGAGTTTTCAGTTTTCCCCAGAAACCTTTCTCAAGTGTTCTTCCAATTGCCAACAGATGGTTTTGAGGGGCTAGGAAACTTACCCTTGGTTCAGGAAGAAAATCTGACATAGGAGAATTGCATTCTGGGACAATGCAAGTCAACAAAAGAGTCGGCATGGAAACTCCCTTGTAAGGCCTCGTTTTAAACATGCTGTGTAGCTTGCACCTAGTAGGTTTTCAAAGACACCTGCTGAATGAACGGATGCACGAATGGACAGGCGGAGCAATGGATGGATGGATGGACATCAGCTGGGGAGGAAGAAATGAACTTCAACGATCGACTGGCCAGAGAGCTGATGGCCACCTGGGCCTTGATGAGGCACTTCTGGGCCTTGATGAAGCCCAGGGTGCTTGGCTGTTGCAGGAGACAAACTTAATCAGCTCCATCTTGCTGTCCACAAAGTTAGTTATTTATTGTGCTATTGGCAGTGAGAGTTGGGGCAAGAAGTCAGGAGGACTGAATCTCTGCCTTCAACTTCAAAGATCCTGCATCCCTTTCTGCCGCCCAAATCCTCAAGTTTCCGAAGCACTTTGATATTCCCAGCGGAGACAAAGATCTGCGATTCAAGAAAACCCAGGCCAGATGAAAGGGCCAGGCACCGAGTTCCTGTGCCCAACACAGAACCACCTCCAACAAAGGCCCATTAGGCTCTGGCTCCTGCCCGCCGGCTTGTCTTCTCGCGTCTCGAAACACAATGCCGACAGATTGGCGGAGCCCGTTTCTTTCCCCCCCAGAACAATATTTTATGAGGAGTCTGTTTTATTAAAATATTTTCCGCTGGATGCTTCCTGTGTTTCAAGAAGTTGGTCTTGCCAGCTGGAGCTGATGACAGTTGAGAAAAACACATCCAAGAGCTGTTGTGACATGGCATTTGGAAGTGGAGGAGCACCGTGGGGGGTGGGGAGGAGGCAGGGAGGCGATGCAGGAAAACACCAGGCTTGCACCAGAAATGCCACCGGCACTATGGCAGAACAGCCTCCCTCCTCCTCGTTAACAAAATGTGAAAAGAAACCCTTGGAATGACGTCCTGAAGCGTACCTCTTTGTCACCTCGGGGCCGAGCTGCTGTGCTGTATGGTCGCAGCAAACCTGTCACTTGTTTTCTATCACTGTTAGTTTGCCGAACCACCAAACCAGGCCCCATGCTCCCACTGGTTCATTTCAACCCCAACTTTCCCAAACAGAAATCTAAAACAGGGCCTACTGAAAAACAAAAACAACAAAAACCCCAAAACAAAACAAAACCTGAAAGCGGTATTGAAACAGTTCAGGTGAGAACCAAGAAAATAGGACACTGGCTCTTTGGCACAGGACAGCGTCACCCCCATCGCTGGGTTTGGAAAGCAACATTGTAAGTAAACGTGACTGGGAGGCCAACTCCTAATCAGGAATTCGGTCACAGAACGGATAATGCTTTTCTGCAGAATGTGGAATGTTGTTGGTCTGGGGTGTTTTTGTGCAACGCAAGGATATTCTGAGTTTACTTTTCAGTATCTACAGGCCCATCACCCTGTCCCAGTATAGTGTCTGAAAGGTTTAGCTTCATTTTAAAGAGGTAACTTTAAAGAGAAATCTTTAGGGTCTGAGGCCATGCAGCACTCTCTCCACAAGGGGGCAATCATCATCCACGCCAGCCGCGCGGGGACAGCCCTCTGTTCCCACCAGCCTATTGTGCAGAGCAAAAGTTAAACCTACACCCAACTTCAGGAGTCCTCTCCTCCAAATTCCTCACAAGCAAGCATCCATGGTGCACACGCACGCAATCCCAGAGCTTCCTGGGCGAAGTCTGAGGGCTGTCCGGGTAGGCTGGTTCTGTGACGACACGGTGGTCCCAGCAAATACCCGAATCATAAAGCAGAGAATCATGGGACAGCTGAAGTATACCGCAACTGGGGTTAGGCCACAGCTTGACATTTCAGAATTGTTTCTTCCTTTCGGCTCATATTCTGGCTAGGACCTGCCATCTCCCTTAACATCCTTCCCTGAGAAGTTTCTGAAAGCAAGCCAGACACGAGGGTTCCCCTTTCTACCAGAAGGAATTCAGGGTGAATTTTTCTGATTTTCCCAACAACTCTAGACCAAGAAGAATTCATGCGCTTTTCCCAGGCATCACAGGAAGCTAACGTGCAGCTGCTGAGTTGCCTGGGCAGAGACCAGGGGGACAAAGGGAAGCAGTGCCACCTTCCCCAGCTGGCTCTGGAGTCCACCGTCTGGGGCTTTCAGCCTCACCCCGTGCAGGTGGCTCCACCTCCAGCCACCACTTGTCTGCCTGCCTGGCTCATTCACCTCCTCTACCCAATAGCTCCTCAGCAGGTGACTCTAAGCTTGTCCTGTGGACACAACACCTGGTACCCGTCCCGCAGGAGCTCTGGGTCTGAGGGAGGTAGGTAAGAAAACCACAGTGATATAAATGCTATGGCACAGGTGGGCAAAGGGTCCTGGTGGGGGTGGGACAGTGGATAAGGACAGTCTTGTGCATAAATCTGAGCCACAGAGACCTTGGGCACCACCAGGCCCTAGGAAGGTGATGGCCCTCATTAGACAGCTGGCCTGACCAGGTTCCTAACCCTCACCTGCTGACTCGACATCCTCGGCATAAAAGGCCTGGGACCTTCTTCTAAACCCATCTGAGTACCCTTTGTGCCTCACCACTCAAAACGCAGCCTAGATGCTCCCTGCCCTCCGGGGCCTCCCGCTGGTGTGACAACCGCAGCTGGCAGAAGAGCAAGCCCTGCTCCCCAAAACACCTGCTTGGCGCCCCGGGGAAGCCTCTCGAAGGCCAGGGCTGCACACTTGGCGCCGCTGGGTTCTTGCGGACAGAGAGGAGAGCAACGGGGTACTCACTGCTCGGGGCTCGAGATCGACGTCCGCCGGCCTTCCACTGTGATGTTGCTCTTGGGTCTCTTCGCGACGTGTGGCCGGGGCGGGCGCACCTAGGAGGGGCACAGGGGAAATCACCAAGAAGGAGTGAGTTGGACAAGCCATACACGGACACTCTGAAGATCTGGATAAGCGGCTACAAAACAAACATGTAGGGATTTTCAGTGGAAACATCACCATTTAATCTGCAGCAGACAGATACCCTAACTGGGATTCTGTGGCCTGCTCCAATCGGAAAGGTTCTCCTGAAGAGCTTGATTTTCTTATCTGCAAGATGGGGGGGGGGCTCAGCCCACGGCGAGGGTCCAGTGAGATGACGTGGATACAGGAACCAGGACAAAGAGGCCCTTATCGAGGACCGATTCCCTCTTGCCTTTCTCTGGAACCCAGAAGCCAGTTTTGCAGAACAAAAAGGTTTCACTCGGACTTGATTTTAGGGTACACACACTTAGTTTGTCTTTTTACAGCTGAATTACAAGATGCTTATTTTCTTCTCTAAATATAAAAGATGTTATGAGAGTGCCAGTACCGATCTGTGTTCTGCTTCTCTCCTCTGTCTCCGTGCTGGCCCTCCCAGCAGGGCCCAGCCGGGGTGCTGCACACCCCACATGGCTACACTCGCCGCACAGGCCTGGCTCAAGGGTCGGCGGTGTGCGTGTTAGGAAGCATGTAGCTTCCTAATCCCACAGACGGTGCTGCAGTGACAAGATGAGTGTTTTTCTGATCTGCCACCTCTGAAAGTCAAGATGAAGGCCTGTAGAAAAAGACACCCCCTGCCCCACCAGAGCCTGTGATGGGTGTTAGGCTGAGAATTTCTAGGTGCCCTTAGAAGGATACTCATTTGGTCCAATCAACATTCCATGGCTTTAAATTTGGCACGGTCATCTTTGCACATTTCCAATGCCTGAGAAGCACAGGTTGTGACAGAGCTAAGCTAAGAAAGTCTATGTCTGAATTTCATTGCCAAGAAAAACGACTGGGCATCCCGGCGCAGGTTCTGAACATTTCTCTGCAGATGAGATGCCACAATTGCTGAATTTTGAGGACAAGACAGGAAAGGAGAGCAGGCGCACACTCTACTTCCTGCCTGCCGCTTTTCCAGAACATCCCTGCCCCCACCCTCGGCAATTTGTGGCCGACACGGCACAATGGCTTAGGAACACAGATTACAGAAGCTGGCTGCATAAAAGACAAGTCTTTATAGAGTCTCGTCAAGCACTCAGGTCTGCATGCGTCTGATCTAACCAAAGTTTTCCTGTGGAGTGGCCAGTCTGATCTTGGCCTTGTTTGGCGAAGCAGAGATATGGTACAAGCCAAATGCGTTCCACCAAACTTGCTGTTGTCTTCTGCGGGGCTATGAAGATTCAGCGACCAGATGCAGGGCAGCCCCAGCATGGGGCCTGGTGCATAGTGAGGGCTCAAATGCTCATCCTGCTTCTCTGTGACCTGAGTGTCCCCTCCTTATCAACAACAAAAGGAAGATGAGGGCAACATGGTGTCTGAATTAGAAGATGAGTTTTAGGATTCTCTGATCCTTGCCTAGCATCCTGCATAGTGCCTGGTATATAGTGGTCCCTCAGCAAGATTTTTAGAATCAAATGGATGTCACTGCTTGGAGTCTAGAAGCGCGCAATGATGTTGCTGTCATTATCATTGTTCTTAGAACTGTGCCTGCCACACAGCGAGTATTTGGCCAACATTTGCTGAATACATGAACGGATATATCCCCCACTCATTTTCACTCTGGTTTCCCCTGTCAGGGCTCTGCAGCCAGTGAACAGGTCATCTGGCTAGAATGGTCCCCGACTTCTCACACAAGGCAGGGGTGTGGGTGGGGTGAAGGGGCAGCTCTGCCCCTGCCCCGCGGGGCCCTGGGGCAGGGCTTTGGGGAAAGGTCAGACTGTAAGGCCTGTCGGCGCGTCCCTGCACAGGGCTGCTCCTTGCTACAATAAAGGCGGGTTAAGAATGTGAACTTGTGGCTGAAATGGGGGGATTAAGTTTGTGGCAACTTCAACTGAACTTGCAACGTGGTGAAACATGGGGAAAAAGAACAACAGAGCTAATTAGACGAGCTGAGCTGTCAGAGTGCCGCTGAATGGCTCAGCGCCAACAAACAAAAGGAATGGGTTGGCAATCAGTAGGATCGATGGAGGAGACTGCTTCATTAGGGATGATAAAACAGACAGAGCAGGGGGGGAGGGGAGGGCAGCAGAGCCGGCGCGGGCGGGGGAGGGGAGCAAGACACAGCACACCCCGGATGGTCAGTCCCCGGCACAGCTACAGACACGCCAGAGTCACACACACCTGCCTGCCGGGGACAAAGCCAGACACACAAGTGTACTCACACACACGACAACCATCCAGAGATACACTGAGGCCTTGAGACTCCCATGTACACACATCTCACAACATGCACGCACAGAGGCATGCGCAAGAGGTGAAGGCACATGTGTGGATCACACACACGCGGCGGCAGACCACAACCAGGCACAGACACACACAGACAAAATGGTTTAATTAAGCCCGAAGCACGAGACACCGCCGACAACTCCCGTCATATTCCGGCGATGACATCCGTCTTTCTGGGGTGTCCGGGAAGGGTGGGGGCTGGGGAGGGAAGGGAAAAATGCGTGCACACACCACAGGGACTGGCCCTGCCAGTGCTAGGATCCCGGCAGCGCCGGGGGAGAAAGTGCTAAACAGGGATTTCCAGCGCCGTTCAAGGGGACTGGAGGGGAAGTTGGGAAGCCAGCCAATTCCCCACTGGATTTAAAACCTGAGAAATCTAAGTCGGCAGGGTTAAATGTGTATTGAATACAAAAGCACCGAGTACATTTGATTTTAATGGTGAGCATGAAATAATAAATCCAGAGCTTATAAAGCGCTTCACATGCAGGCTGACCGCAGCCTGCCTCCCCCGGCAAGCCCCAACCCAGTCCCCTTAGTCCACGAGACACTGGCATGATTTTCTTCTGCTCTTCCTTTTTTCTTCTTTTGAAAAAGAAAACCCAAATCCTCTGGTAACATCTGAACTCCAGCCACAGGTGCCAGGCTACAAAGCTCCTTCCAGAAAGGCTGAATGGCGACTGCCTCGGGCCCCCACTACCCTGAGGCCAACGGCGACACCTCTGCCTGGACCGTTCACGGTGCAGAGACCTGGCAGAGCCCAGCTGGAGGCCGGTGGCTCCTGACATGGGAGCTTGTTAGGCTGTCCTGCTCGAGGCCCTCGAGAGGTCCCACACCCTGTGACTCCCAGGTTCCCACCCAGTGTGTAGTGGTGTCCACTGGAAATGCTTGCATAAATGCACAAGGAACGAATGGTCCCTAGGGCCCTGGGGACTGCAGGGCCCAGAAAGCACAAACTTTCTAAGTTTGTGCTCCCAAATTGGTCCCTTAGTGGTCCTGCTTAGCAGAAGTTCGGGGGTATATGTGACCACTTCATGCCAGGACAGCGCTAGGCACTATACATATACGACCTCATTACCCTCACCAGGTGGGTATTGCTAAACCCATTTAATAGATGATAAATGGGCTCAGAGAAGGTAAGAATCTTACCCAAGGTCACACAGCCAGGAAGTGGCCAAGTCGTGATTCAAACCAGGGTAGGCCTCTCTGACTTCCAAGCCCTGGAGGGCTGGTACTCCAGGGACCCTGCCTCTTCAGCATGCCATGAATCCAGGGGGGGGGGTACAGCCCCAAATGCCAGGCCAGTCACTTCCTACACCAGCCCAGCAGCAGAGGCAGCTGCTACTCAGGCTTTTCTCATGGCAACGTCTGCCTCCCCAATTGGTCAATTGCCAGTAGATATGGCTGGGCACCTCCTACCCAAACAGCATGAGTCCCACAGCAGTGAGACTACACAAGGTCCACCGTACTGCCTCCAATGCTTGGATTTTTCCAAGGGAGCAATCCTGCCCCTGCATCCTGCTTTCCAAGAGATTCCCCGCCTGCTGTGGATCCCAGGCCTCTAAGGGGAATTCTGAGAGCTACCTTCTGGCTGACTTTGGCTTAAGGGAAGGCTGTTTGGTAGAGAACGAGGAGAGACAGAAGAGAAGGGCAGGCCTGGGCTCAAAGGCCAGCTTGGCTTGGCCTCTTATTGTCTCTGTGGTCTTGGCTACAAACTGGGGAAACAGCATCTGCCTTCTCTGGGCTGGGCAAACAAGACAAGTATATGAGCGCCTAGCACAGACCCGGGCACATTACAAGCTGCTCAATAAATGTCAATTCTCTTCACCTCTGTAACTCTGCCAGGACCTAACACTGCCCTAGAGATTCCGCAGAAAGCCCAGCCAGCTGCAGAATAATTTTTTTCTCAACTGAAGGATTTGCCCCAGTACTTTAGATAGGTTGAACATCCCTAATCCAAAAATCCCAAATCTGAAATGCTCTGAAATCTGAAACTTTTTGAATGCCAACTTGATACACAAAGGAAATGCTCATTGGAGCATTTTGGATTTCATCTTTGGATTAGGGGCCCTCAATCAGTAAGTATTAATATAATGCATATATTCTAAAATCTTAAAAAAAACCACCCTGAAATCTGGAACACTTCTGGTTCCAAGCATTTTGGATAAGGGACACTGAACCTGTAATAAGTCCATCTCTATGCCCACAAAGGTGGAGGGTGCCGGGAGCTTGGAGTGCTGGGAAGACTATAGCTTCTAGAGCCTGGTGGCCCTGTTTGCAGTTGAGGAACGTGGGTTAAGTTACTAAGCATCAGTTTTCTCATCTCTAAGATACGTGGTGACAATGCCTACTTCACAGAGCTACTGTGAGGCTCAACTGGGATGCGGTACCTAAAAACATTTTACTGATTATAAAATCCTAGGCAAATGATGGTTATTAAGCAATGGGGCCATTCCTTAGAAGTTGTAAGGTGTAAAAGCCTCTTAAGAAGAACTGCTCCTGTGTGCCAGGCACTGTGCTAGGTGCTCTACAAATGTCATCCTTCGTTCTCACAAAAAGCCTCTATGAATGAGGGTGCAGTGCAGAGAAATGAGGCTCAGAGAGCTTCAGTACTTGCCCAAAGTCGCACAGCTTCAGCATTCACGCCTTGCTCTGCAGACCTTCCAAATCCATGTTGCTAATGACTGTGCTGGAACATTCACTAACTCACATGAGGCTCAACCAAGAAGGGGCCTCCTCTACTCCAAAGTGTTTTCTTTTTTGCTGTTTGTGTCTTCCCTCCAATGACAGTGAGCGAAAACATTTCAGCCCCTTGCAAGCTGTGCCGACTGTGGTTTGGGCTAACCACTGTTTGTTGTGGGTATAGGATGGACCCGTCATCACATGTGGCTGGAACTGTAGGCTCATGACTGTCATAGGTAAAGCCATCTAAATCCTCCCAGCCCCCACTGCAGCCTGCTGACTTCCACACACGGTGGGGAAGGGAAGGAAAACAGTGCACAGACAGCCAATATCTACCCAATCAGTGCTAGGTGCCTGCACCAAGGATTCAGAACAGACACGGTTCAGCCTGGTCACCTGCATGCCGGGGCCTCCATGCCTGCACAAGATGGGTGTGGACATGTGTCCTGCAGAGGCTGGGGGGGGTCGGGACACCAGTTTGGCGGTGGGGGCAGGGGAATCTGATTGCAGCTGACCCCCTGTGCTTGGCCTCAGAGTGGAAGCTGCCTTGAATAACAGATGGAAAAAATTTTCTCTTGGTAAAGAGGCCTCACTGAAAGGTCCTGGCAGGTTTCCCACTGTAAAGGCACCTGCTAAAGTTGTTATGCCTCAGCACTGCCAACGTCTGCGCTTACAAGGGAGAACGACTTTGCTGATGCTTAACACGGGCCCCACACCTAATATTTTTCCGTGTCATTTCTCTTTAAAAAACATGGATGGATCTCTCTCCCCTACCCACACCATGCCCAGGTGTTGGGGGGTTTATCGCAGTGCGCCCTGCGTTTCCATCCTCGCTTGGCAGTCTACAGGGGAAGGTGGGTCTCCACGGGAACCCCGGCAGGGCAGCAGTACCTGTCTCCATCCGAGCCGGCTCCATATTCTCAGGGTGTAGCCTCAGCCCTTGGGAGGGTACATCAAATGCATTTCCAAACCAAGATCTGGCGGGAATGAGACCCCTGCTGCCAACTTCTGCTTCCTTTAAAGCATCAAGAGCAAGCGTTTGGAGCAAGGCTTTAAAGCTCGTTGGCTAGAAACACGGCTCACCCTATGAGATTTGCTCAAATGAGGCACACACTGCACACACAGCACACAGTGGCCCCCGGCTACCTACGGCTCTGACCTGCGAGTCTCCGGACTTATTCAGAAAAAAGAGAGAGAAACCCAGAAAATGCAAGTTCAGGCTCATGCCACGCAGACAGGGAAGCTGAAAAACCCAATTCCCGGTTTTCTTTTGCCAGGCAGGAGAGTCCAAACTCCCGAAGTTTAGTGAGGCTGAGGGCGAAGGGCTCAGGCAGTGTTAGGGGGGGAGGGCGGAACCGCCGGCTACTCACGGGCCTCGAGCGCTGTATCTTGGGAGGCGGCGGTCGGGTGGGACGGAGTCTCTGGGGCTGCATTAAAGCGGAAACTTAAAACATCAGTCACATGGAGATGGCTCAATGCCTTTCCACACGTGGCCCGGGAGGACACACCCAGCCACTCAAGCCAGATTACGGCTACCCTGGATGCCTCCCACTTCCTCACTCCTGCCGTCCGTCTCCTGAGACCATCCCCTCCACTGATTCCTTAGTTCCAGGCCTGTCTCTAGCCTGGATTACTGCAATCGTGTCCCGACAGGGCCCCAGCTCTGATCTCCTCTGCCGTGCTCCAAGCAGGCCAAGGGGGACCTTCTCAAATGCAATATGGCCATGCCTCCTGCTGTCCTTGGGTGCCAGCTGGAGGCCCAGGGCTGGCATTCCCAATCCTCTAAGACCTGGACCCTACCATGCCCCACACAGACCTTTCCCAACCTTCTCCTGTGTCCACCCTGGGCAGAGCCTCAAGTGGGCTTTCATGCTTGTTGCCTGCCTGCCCCCCCATGGAATGAACAGCCTCTGCCCGACGGCGGGCCTGGCAAACGTGTGCTTGTTCTCTAAGAGGCTGCCAGGTCAGGTGCTGTCCCTAGCACCTGTGCTTCCTACTCAAGTACCTCACCCTCTCGCCCCATGAGATGGTTTAAATGTCTGTTTCATGGAGGCAGTCATCCCTGTGCCTGCAGAAGGTTGTGTGTTGTGTGGGTTTTGGGAAAAAAATACCTGTTCAATAAATGTCTGCTGAACAAATAAAATTTGTACAAAACGCTTCTCTTTTGAAATCAGGATTCGAATCAAAACCAACAGAGCACAGACTTCTCGGCCCTACCCTCAAACCCTTTATCTTAAAAGCCCAGCTTTGTGGTTTACACAGCCTGCCTGGCGAGATGCCCTGCACAGGTGTGGGGCAGTCGGGCAGCATGGTGACAAAAGTGAAAGTCCATGGGACCCAGACCACCGACCCACAGCAAACCCTGGGAGGCTCCCAGTTGGCTCTTGCCCATTCCGTCACTCAGTTCACGAAGATACATCACTATCTGACAAAGTCTAGACCAGCCCTGGACAATACAGGAGCCAATGGTCACATGTGGCCAGTCCAAATTCAGATGAGATGTAAATGTAAAATACACATTGGATTTCAGAGGCTTAGTATGAGAAAAGAATGTAAAACACCTTCCAGTAATTTTATATTGATTATGTGTGGAAATGATAATATTTTGGCTATTAGGCTAAATATATTATTAAAAGCAGTTTCACCAGTTTCTTTTGACTGTTTACATTTAGAATTGCACGTGAGATCCCTGAATGGGGCTCCCAGCACATTCTTCTTGGACAGTGCTGACACTGGGATTCGCTCGGTGGGGGTGAGTCCTCAGATCTCAAACCTGCCTTAGAACTTTCCTCCTCACTATTCCTGGAGGGAAGGGCCCATGTCCTGGTCATCCTTGATCCCTGGTGCCCAGCATAGGATAGGGCCTGTCAAAGTGGCTGGAGGGGAAAACTGGCCCAGGGACTCCCTGGTGGCACATCGAGGGCACGTCTGGATGGAAATACACAGTGGCTTTCCAGATCCTATGCCATTAGCTGGGAGTGAGGGCCAGCCCATGCTTGGTGGTCCTTCTACAGTTGGGGCTACCTGGGGTTGGGGAGGCCCCCTAGAGAGGCCATGGCCACCACGTTTCTTCCCCTTCATGGCTTACAGAAGTGTGTGGGGCACAGGGGAATAGAGTCCCCCCAGTTCACACCATTCATCAGGAGGGAGAAGGTCAGGGAGAGGGGAGCCCACCCCCCCACCGTACACAGGCTGCTGCCCTGATTCTCACATATCCCCCGACACCCTCTGCTTCTTTCATGCTTGGCCACTCTACTTCTGGGTGACCATCTCCTCCAGCCCCACTGTCCTCACTGCTTGCCACCTGTGACCTGGGCTATTTCAATCCTTGCTGTGAGGTGTGTGGCAGAGGGCTCAGGGGACAGCCTCTGGGGTCAGAAGGTTTCTGAAAGAACCCCAGCCCCCACTCACTCTTGGGGTTGTTCTGGGCTGTGGGTGTAACCAGTGTCAGCCTTGCTGTCCTCATCTGCGAAGTGCAGGTAACGGCGCTGTCTGCCCGAGAGGGCCGTTAGGAAGATTCAATGAGACGATGTAGTCGGGTTCTTTGCACAATGTCGCCAATAGACATTAGCAACCATTACCATTAGCAGGTTCCCCTGCCTCCAGCCTCTCCCCCTCCCAATCCATCTTCTACATTTGTTTCCAGAGTGGACTTAAAAGAAAAATACACGCCCAATCATGCCACTTGCCAGCTTAAATAATCTCAGTGAAAGGCCGGCATCTCGCAAGGTGTCTGCGAGAAGCACCATCCTGGGAGATGCATTGTATGAAGGGAAAAAAGGAGGTTCCCCAGCCAGGCAAATCTGAGAAATACCGCCTATTGCCTTGCTCCTTTTGGGGACTCACAATGCCTATCAGCATAGCAAAGTCTACTGAGCCTTGCAATAAAAAAACAAAACAAAACAAAAAAACTACCCAAACCAGGCAAAAACATATGAACTCCAGGTTTTTAAAGGTCCTGACTCCCATATGTATTTGAACACAGACTCATTTTCCCTCTAGCACCCATTAATATCCCCTGGAAAATGCCGCCCGAAGTGCTAAAGTCCCCAGGTTCTGGGGCCCACCACGCACCCCTCCCCAGCGTGCAGCTGTCATTATCAGCCCACGCATCTCTCTATGTACCCTGCGGTCTAGTGTAGTACTTGAAACATAATAGGTGCTCAGCAAATGCTTTTTGGCTTGGAGTTCCCAGCACACTCAACAAATGTCAGTTCTACAGATTCCATAGTTAACTTATTTCCCTTTGATTGTCATTGGGAAGCGCTGGTCCTTTTGCAGCTGAATTTACAAATGGCGGGAGGAAAGCAGCCTCTTGGCCACAGCCAGCCCAGAAGCGAGCAGAGCAAGTCAGGGGGATTTAAAGATGCCAAGAAGGGGTAATGTGATACAGATGTCCTGGCGCAGCCAGAGGGATCAAAACAAAACTCAACAAAAATGACCAAGACCAGGAAACCACACTGCCCCTCCTGACACTCGGCGAGTTTTCCCTGGAGGATGTCAGAATCACGGGATCGAGTCACCAGAGGAAATGGACAGGGAGAGGGAGCTGCACTCACTAATTCTGAGCACGCTCTGATGCTGGAGCATACGACAGGGGGTAGCCACCAGGAGAGAAAGGTGAACTCCCAGGGGTGTGCATTAAAGACCCCCCAGGGACTGGGGGAGGGAGAAGGGGACGGTCGCACTAATTGCCAGGATGTCCTGCCACGGTGTGTGCGGGCCCTGGGGACGAGTGCCGAGGCTGGCCACCAGCAAGCATCTGGATTATCACCACGGGGCTGGATGCTGACCATGTGGGAAGCAGTCTTAGATTTTGGACACTAGAACTTCTGACCTGTGGAGTGCCCTCCTGGCCCTACCACAGAGGCCTTGCTGGCTTTCCAGGTGACTTTGGTAAGCCAGTGACATCCCTGGGCCTCTGTGACCTCTCTGTGGGCCCCCCTGCCCACAGAGAGGTGTATTACAGCACTTCCCAGAGGGCTGGGTGCACAGTGGACATGTTGCCAGGAGAAGCTTCTGCTGCCTAGAGAGGGGGTGGCAGGCGGCTGGGCCATGGTGGTTGCAGTTCCCCAAATATGCTGGGACGCATGACAGCTGGGGACACAGACAGGGGAGAGCTGAGTACTCCGGAGATGATTAGCACAGGCTGTAGGGGGTGAGTGGTGGTGATCTGGGGGGTAGGGGGTGAAGAGAGAAGCCAGGGAAGGATCAACTCAGAAAAACACACCCTCTTCCAGAAAGTGGCCCTGGTGTTCAGGAAGCTGAATGTGAGGACCGCAATGGTGTAAGGCGAGGGCCGAGGAGACTGCAGGACTGGGAGGACTCAGAGACAGTTGCTGGGAGCCAGGAGCTCTTCTTCCCTACCTAACTCAGCTCCCAGAGGGTGGAGATTTTGTCTGGTTCTCTGCAGTTCAGCCTACGGCCCAGGGCTGGGCCCGGGGCTTGCTCATCTTACCCTGGCCCTAGTGGCAGGGAGCTTGTATTTCCACAGACACGGGGACAAACTGGCCGAGGTAAAGCGACCCACTCAAGGCCCCCAGCTGGTAATGGGTAGAGCTGGGAGCAGGATTCAGGCCTCTTGACTGAATCCAGAGAGCTCCTTCTCTGTTGGAGGAGGGGGGGCCACACCGGAGTGCTTTAAAGCAGCGGCAGAGAATCGAAGCGGTCTGGGCACCTTTGCATGGAAATCACACCATACACGATCCTCAGTTCCCGGCCAGACTGAATTCCTTCATGTCTGCTTGCGGGGCCAGGGCCTGGGGGATTCAGAGAATAAGACAGAGCCCTTGTCTTCAAGGAATGTACAGTAGGGTGGGATCTGACCTACGCCAGGGACAAATATCTTTCTTAAAATGAAGAGAGGATTTGTGGACTAAAGGCCCAAGAAGTATACTTTGGGCGAGAAAGACATGGGTTCCTGCCTTGGCTCTGACATTTTCTAGTTGAGTTATTTAGTCTCTCTAAGTCTCAGTTGCATCTTCTATAAATCAAAATAACTCCTGAGTTGCAAGCACTGGTGCGAGGATGATATTAGAGAGCAATTACAGCCGTGCGAGGCTCTGGTCTGGGGTCCTGGGGATGACACGGAACCATTCAATCCTCGGTTCCCCTGCTAGACCCATGAGTCTTTCCAGAAAAGTTCTATGGACATGAGGACCTTGGTTTTCCAAGAGTATGTGCTGTCAGCAAGACTCTGTTGAAGGAGACTGGATTTTAATAATAATCTCTTCTATTTATATGGTGTGTTTTCCTTTCAAAGCATTTCTACTTCTCTTCTTTCCTTTGAGCCTTGCATTCCCTGGTGAGGCAAGTTGGAGAAGGATTATCTCCCTGCTACAGAGACAGGAAACAGGAGGCCCAGAGAGGTTAAGGGACTAGTATGAGGTCACACAGCTAGCTGCGAACAAGCAGGTATTCTTAGTCC